AGGAGCACAATCTCTCCTGTTATCTGAGAAATTATTTCTGATTTCATTTTTTCCAGATCCCCTTTTGTTGCCAGTTCAGTGGGTCCAGGTTGTTGAGTATCAGAGTGTTCCATCTCATTTCCGTTTGGGGTTGCTGTAGGTGATCTGGATGTCTGGTTTTGAGACTTATTTACGTGTTTTCTCATTTAGACTGGGGGGGGGTTCTGTTGGCGCCCATGTGGATCACCTCTGCTTAGCTGAGAGAGGTGAGACAGGGGCCAGGAGCAGCATTAGGGATAGTGGCCCAGAAGCCCCTTCCTCTGGGGCAGGAGCGATGGGACAGAAGGCAGCCCAAAAGCCCTTTCCTCTGTGCTGGGAGCAATGGGAGGGATGGTGGCCAGGAAGCCCCTTCCTCTGTCCAGGAGCGACAGGATCCTTCTTGGTTATTTTGTTAACACCCAACTACATACCTGACTCCCCTACTTGAATATCTAGTAGACATCTCCTTATCGTCCCCCTTACACCTGTTCATCCAGTCATCTTCCCCATCTCAGTTAATGGCAATTCCATCCTTTTAAGTACTCAGGCCAAAGATTTTGGTATCATCCTTATTGCTCCTACATCTCATATCCAGCCCATTAATGAATCTTTCTCACTTTTAAAAATATCTGAAGTCAGACTATTTTTTAACATCTTCTTTTGTGGTCTAAGTGATCCAGATCATTATTGTGGAAATTTCTAAATGATTTCTTGTTTTTCCTCATGCTCTTTTCTCATCATTGCCCCTGGAGTAATATTTTTAAAACTTAAGACAAATCATACTATGTCTCTATATCTCACCCAGGGCATGAGCAACTCGCATCTTTCCAAAAATCTCATCCACTTACTCTGTTTCAGCCACACTAGTTCTTTCTTAAACTCTCACCTTAGGGCCTTTGAGCTTGATGTAACCTCTTCCTGGAATACTCTTTCCCCTTATCTACTTCAAGCCTTTGCTCAAGCATTAATTTTTTCATGAGGTTTTCCCTGATCACTCAATTTCCAATGAAACAACACCCCAATACACATTTATGAAGCAATTTCTACCCTCATTAATCATTTTTTTCCACAACACTCATCATTATCTGACATATATTTTATTTATATGTTATTTTACCTATTCACTAGACTATAAACCTATTAAGGTTGGGATTTTTTGTTGTTGTTGCTAATACCATGTTGTGTAGAATAGTGGGGGTTTGGGTTTTTTTTTTTTTGGCAGAACCGAGGATTGAACATAGATGTGCTTCCTGAGCCATGTTCCAGTCCTTTTCTTTCTGGAAAGAAATTTTATCTTTCTTTTGGTATGGGGGATCGAACTCAGGACCCTGCGCTTGCGAGGCTGGCGGTGGAACCACTGAACTAAATCCCTGGCCCCCATCTTTCTGTTTTAAAAATTTTACTAGTACATGTTTGGAATTCGTGGAGTTTGCAATCATCTTGGGAGTGGTTAAATGTACATATTACAGCTTCTTTTTCTTTTCCCCTTCCCTGCCCCTCCTCCCTCCCCCACTGGTTCCCCTATCCCCTATCCCTTTTTTCACACTTGTTGATGTTATTTGTCTTAGGCCATGTTATGACATATAGTGTTTACATTAATTGAGGTTATTAGGTTCATGTACATGGCATATCTTTATTGTTTTTATTTTTCCTTCCCCTTTTCCTCACTCCTCATCCTAGTGCCTTGGACCACTTCCCTACTGCAAGAGATGAGTCCTCTTGTCCCTTTCTATCAATCCTGTATCATTTTCTTTATTTGCACTATGCCTCACTCAGATGAGAGGTATCATAGTGTATTTAAGCTTGTTTTTCTCATTTCTTTTTTTCTTTCTTTCTTTCTTTCTTTTTTTTTTTTTTTTGGTACTGGGGATTGAACTCAGGATCTTGCGCTTGTGAGGCAGACGGCGGCACCACTGCACTAAATCCCCGGCACTCATTTATTTCTTAATACCATATTTTCCAAGTGCACGCATTTTCCTACAAATGTCTCAAATTTGTCATTCTTTGAGTAGTATTCCACTATATATAGATACCATATTTTGTTTATCCAATCACTTGTTGATGGGAATACAGGCTGTTTGCTTTATGTTAGGACAGGATCTCAGTAAATTGCCCAGGCTCACTTTGGACTTGGGATCCTCTTGCCTTAGCCTCCCCAGTAACTGGAATTATAGGAGTGCACTAATAGAATCTGTCACATTGCATATATGTTATAAGTATTTATTAAATAAATGAATGAATTTTTTCAACAATGCCATGTGGGGGGACATTATTCTCACTTCAGATGGGAAAAGCAACAACAAAATACACAACAAACCACCACAACTTGCACAACCAAAACTAAGCCAGAATAAAAGAGTAACAGGTACAATGAAGTTAAATAATTTTCTCACTTTTAAACATTAAAATTTTAAAATTTTCCACCTATAGGAAACTGTTCAAATAATTTATGCTATATCAAAATGATGGAATAATATGCAGTTATAAAAATAATGAGAGTGCTTTTTATATTTTTACAGAATGATCTCCAAGAAATGTCAAATGAGGTGTAGAAGTATGAATCAAATGTTACTAACTGAAAATAAAGAAAAAAATTATTCATTTGCTGATGCATGCATAGCCTAAATTTAGAAGGATATACAAGAAACTGGGTGACAGAGACAGACACGGGATAAAATCTTGTTCCTCTATAACCATTTGTACCTTTCATATTTTGAATCATCTGGACCAGATACAGACTCAAAAATAAAATAAAACAATAACTTGCGTAAAGTCAGACACCTCATAAGTGACATGGAGTGATTTTTAAATTCAGGACTGCCTGATTCTAAAGCCTATTTTCTTTCTACTAGCCCAAAGTAACTCACAGAGAAATATAGCAGAAGCAGCCCATTTCACTTTTCTATTGGGTCGAATCTGAGAAAATGGTTTCAGATGTGTAAGATGCCAAGAGATTCAGGCTTTTAGCAAGTATTTCAGTTGAGTGATTACTGATAATGTCAATAACAAAGGGAACCAGTATTTAAACCTTTCTCAGTCTGCTGAAATAATTTCTCTTTTCTCCACAGCTGCTGGCTGGCAACATCAAACAGCAATGGTTTTATAACAAGTTCATTTTTATGGTCATTCATCATGCCTATAACCATTATCCTCATCAGTAATTTTGTTATATTTATTATAATCACAGTCAAAGTGCTGTGGAAGAATAAGCAGAATTTGACAAGGTAAGATTCCAAATGAATGGGAAGCTGATGGGCAAGACTTTAATATAGCACTAAAAACATCCATTTTTCTTGGAAGGATTTTCAAGCTCTAAGACAAAGCCAAGAATGTGTGGCATTTTAGAGAGATTTTCTTCTAAACTTTGACTCAGAAAGTGGACCTTCTTATCTTCTAATGTCAGTACTACAGTTTTGGTGTACTGAATTACATAATGCGCTTTTGTATTAAATGAGCCCAAATAAAATTTTTTTAAAAAATTACCTCCCTTAAGATATTCAAAATATAAAATTTGAATAATTAAAGAAACAAGAAAGTTGTGAAGATATTCGGGTACATGCATTTTCATTTTACAAACCTGAATCTGTAGACTATATTTTACATACATTACTTGGGATACACAATAGCTTTAAACTTTTTTAAATTGGTTGCAAATATATACACTTTTGGTGATTTCACTTATAATTGGATTTTCTCTTGAAAAACGTTGGTACATCTGTAACACTGAGCCTGGGTTCTCTACAGATGGGACATGTGTTCTCTCTCTTATTTATCAGTTCCCAAACTGCTCTTCTACTTGCTATATATAGCAAGAATATAATAAATACAATATAATATGACATAATGCAATGCAATGCAATATAATATAATATATGTGGCCCATGAGAATTCTCATTGTTATCTCTAATATAAAAGAACTTTTGGTTTGAGACAAAGAACAGAAACTTAAACATATTCATTCTGCTCTCATCTCCATAGCATTAATTGGTCAGTGTTAGTGAGGCTATAAGTTTATTTTTTTTATTCATTAAGTTTATTGGTACATTTTAGGTATACAATACAGTGACAGTCATCATTGGGAATTTGTACCTTTACATGATATATCTTGGTTCTTATTTTTCCCCATTCTCCTGCCCTCCCTTCAACCCCTCCATCCCTCCCTACTTACAAAGACTTTGTTTCCATTTTTTCCTTTTCTCGTATTTTTTTCTTTCCCTCTTTTCTTTCCACTACTCCTCCCACTTCCCTTTCCCCTTTAGTCCTTTTCTTCCTTATGAGTTTATATTTAATTCTACAAGTATACTTACTATAAAAACATTTGTGAACTTACGTAAACTCACAAATGGATCTACTTGGTATGAATAGATGAATGAAAACCATCATTATTTAAAATATAATCTTGAGGGCTGGGGATTTAGCTCAATGGTGCTGCCACCTGCCTCACAAGTGCAAGGTCCTGAGTTCGATCCCTGATACCCCCCCCAAAATTATATTTTAATTGTTTTAGTGAAATATATATATATA